TTCTTTCTTATATTGTTGCTTAATCCACTATTTTCTGTGGGTAAAAAGATTGGTCTTACCAGTGTTGCCAGTCAGTAAGGTTTTCTTTTCCTTTTGTGGTTGTGTATTCCTCATAGGGTGTCTAGTACATCTTTGGATTGCATGCTCTTGTCTATTTATTATTGCTCAGTGAAGATGGGCTGCTCCTTTGGTGTGAAACACCCAAGATGGAATAGATCGGGGGAGGGCCAGACTTCAAAAGGGAAGGTGGGCATCAGGGGAGGTACCTGTTTCTGAGGTCAGAGTTTAAAGCCTAATTGATGAAAAGTTGAGATTTTATTGCTTCTGGGACCCACAGTTGTTCTGTAAAAGCCTAGATAGTAAATATTTGGGACTTTGTGGGGCCACGAGGTCTCTGTCACAACTACTTGTCTCTGCTGTTGTAGTGCAAAAACAGCCATAGACACTGTGTGAGCAGATGAGCGTATCCATTTTCCATAAAACTATTTATGGACACTGAAATTTGAATTTTATATAAAACTGTATAAATAATATTCTTTTGTGTGTTTTTTTTTAAATCTGTGCAATGTTGTGATTTATAAGATATATATTTGATCATTCAGATGACCAAAATATGTATCTCATATACATTTGGTCTTCCATAATTGCTGGCTCACAACTCCTGGAACTCTTGAATATCCTAAGTGTTGGGGGTGTCTTTCGTTGTGTTCATGAGGTGACTTTCAGAAAGCATCTAAGGATGGGGGCTGATTGCCAGGGGAACCAACAAGGTGGTTAGAATTTTATTTTTTTTATTTTTTCAATTATACTTGATGTACAGTATCATATTAGTTTCAGGTGTACATCATAGTCATTAGACATTTATTTATATAACTTAAGAAGTGAAGGGTTATATCGAACTTTCGATCCTGTGCCCTGACCTCCAGGAGGGGAGAGGAACTGGAGGTTGAATCAATCACCAGTGGCCAATGACTTAACCATTCATGACTATGTAATAAAGCCTCCATAAAACTCCAAAAGGATGGGGTTCAGAAAGCTTCTGGGTGAATACATGGAGATGTGGGGAGAGTGGCTTGCCTGGAGGGGGCATGGATGCTCTCAGCCCTTTCCCACACACCACACCTTGCCCTGTGCATCTCTTCCATCTGGCTGTTCCTCGGTTATACCTGTTACAGTAAGTCAGTGACCTAGTAAGTAATGTGTTTCTCTGAGTCTGTGAGCCATTCTAGCACATTAATCAAATCCAAGGATGGAAACGTGAGCCCCTGGTTTATATAGCCGGCTGGTCAGAAGTACAGGTGACAACCTGGGCATGCAGTTGGCATTCTGAGTCGGAGGAAGTCACTGGAACCTCCAATCTGTAGCCAGTCGGCCAGAAGCACAGGTAACTTGGGCCTGCATCAGGCATCTGAAGTGTAGGTGGCCGGGGATGGGAAGTGGCAGTCTTGTAGGACTGAACCCTTAACCTAAGGCATCTGATGCTGTCTCTGGGTAGGTCGGGTAGGTTGTGTCAGAATTGAGTTGAATTCCCAGACACCCTACTGGTGTCTGAGAATTGTTTGTTGGTGTGGGGAAACACCCCCCTGCTCCCCATGGTGGAAATGGATCTGGGAACCCAGTTTACCCTCAAACCATTTAAAAGTATAAAAACTATTCTTAGCTAGTGGGCCATACAAAAGCCAAAGGCAGAATTTTGCCGTTCACAGTAATGGCATCCTTGTGTAGCTTTGACTTGAGAAGTCAGATTCTTGACCAAAAGTCCTTTTCACACTCCACATTGTAGAAACTGTCTTTAAACTTTTGGGGTTGGTGACAAATTGCATCTTTATCAAGGTCACTTGTAACTTATTCCAAAGAGTTACTCATCATGTTGGCTGGTGTCTGCCTGCTGTGTTTTAGCACTTTACTGTCACATTTGAGACTGTCATTTTTTTGTCTTTACAATATTGCTGTCTATCCTGATACCATTGTAAAATAGCACATTTTTGTTTGTTTGAGCAAGCATTTCTTTCAAGCTTGTAGCAGATGCTGTTGAGGCCCCATATGTCCCCCACAGTTCACTGGCTGCTGTGGTGGACAGAGCCTGACATCTTGTTTCCTTAAGCACTAGATCCCTGAGTTTGCTCTGCCCCAGTGTGGGTGGTCAGCCCCATGCATGGCAGCCAGGAAGTGCTGGGAATTTAATAGCCCTGGGAGCAACCCTCAACCAAGGAGATGGATAGGTGCCCTGGCTTTCCCTTTCTTTAGCTCAACAGTCTGAGGCATTTTCTACGGGATTCCTGAAAGGGACTTTAGCAGGGCTGAACTCGTTATCCACAGCAGTTAATGAGCCCTTTATAGACTTTTCTTCCTACGACTCACTTTTCTTAATCCCCTCGAGTGTGCTTCCTGGGTTCTCCCTTTCTCCAAATAAGCTACTTGCACCAGAATTCTTATCTCAGGTTTGCCTTTTGGGGGAGTCCAAATGATATAATTTGGTGGTGGTGGTGGTGGTGGTGGCGATGGAGGAGGTGGTGGTGGTGGTGACGACGACTAGCAGCAGGGTACAAGTGACAGCCTTTTGCCCTGTCTCCCCGCACTGGGAGATCATATGAAGTAGCTTCCTTAATGATTGACATTGGCACAAGAGCACCACAGAAGAGACTGGACTGAGGTGTAGGGAAGAAAGTAGTATGTACCTACCTACTGTTAATTCAGCTCAGCCTTACTCTTCTTGGGTACTGTCATTCTTTGCAAAAGTTATCTTTTCCTGCTCTGGGCTCTCTATTCTTGAAGAGAAAAGTAAACTATCTGTAACATGTGTGGCCATGTACCTAATATATGAAAAGGTCCCAGTCTTGGTTGTCTTCTGTGAGCTAGAGCAGAAAGTTGACAGATTATGTGCTGGAAAATAATTGAAGATGCAGGTGGTATACATTGTGTCACAATTAGGTGAGTTGTTGTAAGATAGCAGTTATAGTATGTATTTCTGCAGCCAAACTTCAAATAACATAATTGGGCTTTCCCAAAACAAATATTAAAATTTTTAAATGGCAATATAGTCACAAGTAACTACAATTCTCAAAGTACTTACTGATTAAAATATTTTTTTAATGTCTGAGGAATTGAAAGTCTTTTTTCCAGGGATGCATTTCTTCCATAATAAGAAGTTCAGTTATATCATGTAAATTTCACCATAGAAGGTGTTTGTAGACACATAATGTGGAAATTTTATTTTTACTTCCAGAGGCTTTCAGGTAGACAGCTTGTGTTTAAAATTTTTCCAGGTTAGTATGTACTTTTAAACTTATATTTTTAAAGTTGACCAACTCTTACTAAAGCTATATTAAAATGATCTTTGTAGCAGAACCATAATAGTTTTTGTTTTTATTTGCGAGAACGTTATTTTCCAGGTTTTGTTTCTTCCCCTGGAAGACTTTTATGGTTATTGTTTTTTTTGAAACATCATTTCCCCCATTTTTGGTTTTTAGTTTAACATATCCAAAACGTTTTCACTTTTAGTGCTACTTTAAAAACTAGCTGAAGTTGGATTTTGTGTGTATTTTGCTAGTTGATTGTTAAGATCTTCCTTACCCAGCCGTAGCCAAATCTTGTGTAAATTACATTCTTTATTTGGTTTCATTTAATTTAATTGCATAAGGCTGTTAAGTAGTTTAACAGATATTAATATATTAACATTTTCTGTTACACTTGTACCAAAATATATTGAGGGAAAAGGTTAGACAATGTGACTTTATAAATTACTTTTCTTGGAATAGATGAGGTGTCATAAAAAAATACAGTGAATGTTTAAATTAAAAAAATATATTACAGTACAAGACACATTGCTGTTAATCCCTCTCAAAATACTCCCCCTCACTTTGAACACACTTATCCCATCATTATTGCCACTTTCTGAGGCAGTTCTAGAAGTCTTCTTTTGTGAGAGTCTTTAGTTGCACTGCCATAGCTGCCTCGATGTTCTGATTCGATTCCAACCGTTTACCTTTCATGGTCATTTAGACTTTGGGGAAGAGCCAGAAGTCTCATGGTGCCAGATCCGGTGAATAAGGTGGATGAGGACACACCGTATTGTTTTTATTTGACAGAAATTGCCGTACCAGAAGCGATGTGTAACATGGAGCGTTGTCATGAAGGAGGATGAAACTGTTTGCCCATTTCATATTAATGCATTGTTCATGATCCATGATTTACATACAGCACACTAAAACACACCTTCTCTCAACCGTAGCTCATACCCGACCGACAGCACTGAACAAGTTGCAACTTGTCACACACTGTTACTAAGGTTCGAAGCGCTGCTTCTGTATTGAAGATCCCTGCTTTTCTGTTGGATGGCACATGGCAGCAGCATTCACTGTATTTTTTTATTACACCTCATATTTGGGACAGTATATAGGTTGGGATGTAGGTTTTTTGTTGTTGTTGTTGTTGTTTTTTTCCCCTCTCTTTGGTTATAGAATATTACTTACTCTGGGATTTGTTTTTTCCGTGCTCCTCTTCTTCACCTGGAATATTGGTTTTTGCTTACTCCTGTTCCCTATATTTCTTTTCACCAGCCTTACTCACCTCAATACACTTCTGCAGCCTCACAAACCTGATCCTTCTCACCTACTTTATCATCGGAATATTGTCCATTCCTCAAGGCTGGGCTCAGAATCCACCAGCTCCACTTCATTAGTTATCCTTCTGATTCCAGCCTCCAGGTTCTCTTTGTTCTGGGAATGACTACGGAGAACATTCACTCCATCATCCATGCGTCCCATGTTCTACCTAACAGGCATTTTTAGTTGCCATGTGAATTCTGCCTCAGCTACCTTGTGTATACTGGCTTTCCAGGGCAGAGAGTGTGTTTTCTCAGCTGTTCAGTATTTCTTTTGTACATATCACATAACAAGCACTTTAATTTAATTGTTTGTATTAAATACCCAATTATTTAGCTTTCTGCTTCTCAAAGTAATCTTGATGATTTTTAAGTGTTTTGTTTTGTTTTTTTACAGATGTAAAAAAAGATTGGTCTGACCATGCTCTCTGGTGGGAAAAGAAGAGAACTTGGCTTCTTAAGACACATTGGACCTTGGATAAGTATGGCATTCAGGCAGATGCTAAGCTTCAGTTCACCCCCCAGCACAAACTGCTCCGCCTGCAACTTCCCAACATGAAGTATGTGAAAGTGAAAGTGAATTTTTCTGATAGAGTCTTCAAAGCTGTTTCTGACATCTGTAAGACTTTTAGTAAGTATTAGATAAATTCTTCATCAAAGTATTAAGTTATGTGATACATGTATGATGACTGACATTTAGCATATCTCAAGGAGTAGGGATTGGGGTGAGTGAGCTATCTATGTATGTGATGTGAAATTTTTACATTATTCTTTAAAGTTTTTTATATTACTTTATGATCAATGTTGGATTAAGGTGGAACAGGAGGAATCTAGTAGAGATTCTTTCCTTACTAGAAGCGTATCAGGTATTTATTATTATGTAATATTCTATTCTGATGACTTATGGGAAGGAGAAGGGAACAGGGAAGGAAATGGGTATTATTTTCAGAGGGATGTAGCTTTTGCAGTGTTTGCTTCACATAAGTCACTATTTGATTTTAGTGATTCAGGCAGATTATGTCACTTCCTTCATTGAAGGCCTGACACTGCTCCTAAGGAAATGACTCTGAGTGTTGTCTTCCTTAACCAGTCTACAACATGAACACTCTTGTAGTAATTCTATTTATGCTTTTATGAAATGAGATGTGGATTACTTTTGGCTGACCCAGTTATATCATATGACAGGAAGTATTCAACCATCAGAGAAAATGTAAACTATTGTCTTTATCACTAGTACACAACTCTACTGTGCTGTAGATTAGGGGGAGATACAGATAGATTGACATTACTGTTTTGATCTAATGACTCTGAAATTATAATGATTTTTCTGTTTAATGGAATTAATAGCTGATACTGTTTTGCTAAACTCTTTTTTAAAATCAAAATAATATAGGTAAAGTTCTTGAGTCACATTTTCCTAATTTCCCTTCAAAAAGCAACTACTGTCTTAAGTTTAGTGTGTATTCTTCTAGTGCTTTAAAAAATACACAAACACGCATTCATGTATTCATATCTATGTGTATATATGTATCCCAAAACAATATATGTTACTGCCATTGCTGTGTCGGTATTTTCTTATACAGTTTTTGTACGTGTTTGCAAGAATTTCTTGAGTGTTCACCTAGAAGTAAAAAAGTAGGGTTGCTTTTTTTTTTAAACATACACATAATTCATTTCAGAGTTCTGTCAAATTGCTCTCCCAAGTTTTTCTACCATTTGATATTCCAACCCACAATGTATGAAAACCCCCTGCTCCAAATTTATCACTAACACTTGAATGTTGTCAGTTGTTAGTGTTCGCTTCTCTGAGTGAAATAATACAGTATTTCATTTTAGTTTATAAAGTTAAGTATGCTTTTATGTCTTTACTGTCCATCTAATCTAAGTTTCTTCTTTTGTGAATTGCCTATTTATAAATTTTTTAAAAATAGATAAATGATATAAACTTTTTTAGAGTAGTTTCAGGTTCACAGCAAAATTGAAGAAAAAGTATAGAGTTCTCATTCACCCCCTATCCCACTATCAATACCCCACACCAGTGTGGTACGTTTGTTGCAATAGATAAGCCTACAATGACACATTATTATCCAGAGTCAGTGGCTTACATTAGGTTTCCTCTTGGTGTTGTATAGTCCATGGGTTTGGACAAATGTATGACATGTATCCATCATTATTATATTATACAGAGTAGTTTCACTGCCCTAAAAATCTGTACACTGCCTATTCCCTTCCTCTCCCAACCCTTGGCAACCACTAATCTCTTTCCCGTCTTCATAGTTTTGCCTTTTCCAGAATGTCTTACAGTTTGAATCATACAGTACGTAGCCTTTTCAGATTGGCTTCTTTCACTTAGTAGTATGTATTTAAGTTTTCTCCATGTCTTGTCATGGCATGACAAGTTTTTTTTT